GTGTTACGTAAACAGGACAGGTGAAATATTATCATGTAAAGCTACCATAAACACATGAAAAGACCTAGGTTTACAATTTATGATTAAAACTCTACTATCTACACAATATACATAGACATAAAATGTAAAAACTTAAATATCTTAGAAACAGTAGCCAATCAGTTCTTTTAATTGTCATATTTGAATTCAGCACATCAAAATACATAATAAATAGCACATTTTATCTCTGAAGCAGACGACTTCTCAAAAATTGTAGATCAGTGTATTATCTTTTAATTATCAGAGGCATGACACAGCTAGTGAGATAAAACATTTTAAAAAGTGATTTTGTTTCCACTATGTCATAGAAACAATGCAAAATTCATTTCTACTGATCTTTGCAGTGCTTGAAATGTTTCTCAGTCATGTAATTCTTTGAATACTGTACTCATGTTGTGCTCTCACGTAACTCAGTGTCAAACTGGAGTAATGCCATTGATGGGTTTAACTAACTGTAGAATTTGTCCTTAAGAAGATGTCCTCTTCAAGAATTTTCTTCCTTTTTGTATTTTTTTTACCTTTTTTTTCTTATCAATGATTTTATCCTGGCCTGCTATCTCCAGCTAGAATCACTGGTAGATAACAAACTTCTTTCGCACTCCAGTCCTTGTATCTTTTAGACATACATCCTCTGCCATGCAACATCTATATGGCCCTGAGAAAAAAAGCTAAAATGGCCTCTGTTGACTTTCCTGAGTATGTGAGGTAGGTACAGCCAATTGTGGAGTATAAACAATACCATGTGACTTCAAACAACGGACAAATCATAACTAACCTTGCTTCTAGCAAGAAAGGTGAACTGAAAATATTTGTAATGTAAAAATATGTACCCAATTTTGATGAAGTTTTCACTGTATGTGAAAATTTTACACCAAGTTCTGCATTTTCATGGAAGATCAGTGAAGATGTAGAGAGTCAAATCTTAAGTCTTTTCAATATCTCAATGAATATTTTCAAAAAAAAGAAGAACAGAAGTACTTGTGGCACCTTAGAGACTAACAAATTTATTAGAGCATAAGCTTTCGTGGACTACAGCCCACTTCTTCCGATGCATATAGAATGGAACATATATTGAGGAGATATATATACACACATACAGAGAGCATAAACAGGTGGGAGTTGTCTTACCAACTCTGAGAGGCCAATTAATTAATCAACTAATTAATTGGCCTCTCAGAGTTGGTAAGACAACTCCCACCTGTTTATGCTCTCTGTATGTGTGTATATATATCTCCTCAATATATGTTCCATTCCATATGCATCCGAAGAAGTGGGCTGTAGTCCACGAATGCTTATGCTCTAATAAATTTGTTAGTCTCTAAGGTGCCATAAGTACTCCTGTTCTTCTTTTTGCGGATATAGTTTAGTTAGGGTACACTTAGCAGGTATGTCGGCATTTCACCCTCCTGGGGATAAACACTTCCTTTATTCCAGTCCAATGGTTGTAAGGTTTTTAAAGGGCTTGGACAAGGTGTTTCCACACATACAAAGTCTTATTCCACCATGGAGCCTGAATTTAGTCTTAACTGGGCTGATGGATCCTCCCTTCGAGCCTGTAGTGACTTGCTGTCTGTTACACCTTTCAATGAAGGTAACATTTTTAATAGCCATTACAGTGGCCAGGAGAGTAGGGGAGTTGAGGGCATTAGTATCACATCCTCTGTATACCTTTTTTTACGTAGATAAAGTCTACCTTCGTCCCCATCCAAGGTTCCTTACGAAAGTAGTCTCCTCTTTTCATATCCAAATAATTTACTTACCGACCTTCTTTCCAAAGACTCATGGTAAGAAGGAAGAAGAGCTGTTGCACACTCCAGATGTTGGAAGAGCATCAGTGTTTTATCTGGAACAGGCTAAAACTTCCAGATCTTCATTTCAATTGTTGTTGCATTTGTGGACAGCATGAAGGGCAGCCTAATTTCTACACAGAGGATTTCAGCATGGATGTCCGGTTCTATTTGCTTATGTTACCACTTGGCTAATGTGGAGCTGTTAGATAGAATATTGGGTCATTCATCTAGATCCCAAGTGGCCTGTGCAGCATTTCTGGCTCATGTGTATTAGACAGTTGCAAAGCGGTAACCTGGTCCGCATGTCACATGTTTACCTCGCACTATGCAATTTCTCAACAATCAAGAGATGATGCTAAAATTGGACAAGTGGTCTTCCAGTCCTTGTTCAAATAGATTCCAATACTGCCTCCAAATAGAATTGCTTGTGAGTCACCTACAGTGGAATGGACATGTGCAGTCACTCGAAGAAGAAAAAATGATCACTGACCTTTCTGTAACTACTGTTCTTCTAGATGTTTTGCACATGTCTACGATGCACCCTCCTTCCCATTGCTATTGGAGTACTTCCAGTAGGAAGGAACTTGGGGGAGGAGGGGTGAGTCTGGGTTGGCTTGACCCTTTATGCTCGTGTGATATGCATGAGACAGCAGAAGGCATGCTCAGGCTGCTCTGATGGATGCTGCTGAGGGTGAAAATGCTCCAACAACCGTGGACTGGAGCGTGCAAACACCCACAGTGGAAGGGACATGTGCAGCGCATCTTGAAGAGTAACAGTTTTTTCTGCTCAGTGAATTTTTACATTAGAGTCGTAAATCTCTGACAACAGATTTTTTTAAATAACCTAGAACAATTGACAGCACTATAAAATGCCTTAATAAAGCAATCATATCCAGTATTTACAATTCAGTGTGTTGGGATGTATTGTGAGGAGAGGAGTGTTGCCTAATGGTTAGATCAGAGGACTGGGAGTCAGGATTCATGGGTTCTATTCCCATCTCTGACACTGCTTCACTGTGACCTTTTTGAGCCTCAGTTTCCCTATCTTAAAATGGAAATAATTATACCTACCTCATCAGAGTAGGCTAACCCTGAGTTGCCAGATGCAACCCCATTCTACCCAACATATCAGTCTCTGAGACCTGGTAGCAGCTTAATTTTTTACACACAGTTCCAACCCTTTCCCTTATGTCATGTGAATCTTTGATCATCTGGTAAAAGCAATTAACTCCAAGCTCCGTAACTTTATTTAGGTTCCCTCTCTTTGAAAGCCATTTATTTTTACAAGTTTTTAAATTACATTTGTATGTTTAATTGATATATTTAATGTGATATGGTGCACTGATCTGCTTGTGAAGAGACTTTATAGTCCTGCTGCATGTATCCACCAAAAGGCCATTACAGGTGTCAAAATCTTCTTTACTCAGTTGTTGTTTTTTAAATTTCATGGGCAGTATCAATTGCAGCTTTCATCCAAGCCAGTTTATAAGTGTTAACCCTCTTTTCCAGGTGTGGAAAGTGAAGCACAGAGAAGTTAGGTGACTTCCCAAGTGTACACAGAGCCCGTGGGTGAGCAGTGAACAGAACACCGGAATCCTGTTTCCCAATCTATTGCTCTGATCGCTAGGTTACCCTACTTACTCAGTAGTTTTTTATATATGCATATCCAAGACTAGGGTATTATTTCTTGCAGCAGTTGCCCCTGTGAGGAAGGAAAGAAGCTAGATTGATTTGGCGTGACAAACTTCCTTGTTGATTGTGAGTGAGTCAGTGAGGAAATTTACTATACCTATTGTAAGAAAGCTGCAATAATAACCCGGAGTTGCCATTACCATTGGGCACCTGTAATTTTCACTTCATTAGATTCATCATGTGGAATTAGATTCGTAAAATCAGAAAAATGTACCAAGAACCAGGCTTCGTGTTCCTGGGGAGAAAATTTTAACTTGAGTTTTTTCTCTGTCCCTCTCCTACTAAATGCTTCTCAGTGAAAGCACTGTGAGCCAATGTCCTGTCATATATGGTGGTTCAAGGGCTTCCCAAGCATAACCCAGCAGGTCCGCAAGCTCTAGCAGGGGAAATGCTTTTGTGCCTAGTGGCTGGAGAGGTCACTCTGTAGGCCCAGGTTGCATTTTCCTGCTGCCTCACTGATCTTGAGGCAAATGAAAACCTCCCCAGCTTTAATGGAAAGCAGTGCACAGTTAGGAAGAAATTGACAACCCCTTATGCTCTGCTTGCTGGTTTATTAATTGAAATGCTTTTGATTTAAAACAAGAATTAATGTTACAAACTCCCGGGGTCCCAGATCGTTAGTAGGATCAATTCCTTTGTCACTGCTGAGATCAGAGTCTAGAGACCTAGGTATCCCATGCGTCAGCTAATCACGTGACAGGCAAATAGTGCAGAGGAAGGAACGCAGAGAAGCCAGCTGCCTGAACTGCTATGGCTTGATCCATGGGTGGTGAGCATCCTCACCTCCCTTTGGAGTCCATTAAGGGAACTTTCCTTGCAGGATTGGGTTGTTAGCAATCTCATCAGCTGTAGTGGGAGAAACACTCCGGACTTGCCAAATAAAAATATTTTCAGTTGTTTTGAAGAATTGGTAATGGGATATGGAGCTTTTACCTCTGCAAGATGGCTGGTAGTGACCTTAAGTTGCTACTGTCTGATGGCTGTTTGGGCCTTGTGTGATACAAGTTTGGTGTGTCTCAATCCATCTGCACATCACAGACCTGCCACCACTGTTAACATGATTTGTGCCCCTGTTTGGTGATGTCAGAAGAGAGACTAAGAGCTGAACGGGCCATGGAGAGTGAACTTCCTTCTCATCTGTGGGTTGTGGTTGACTCACGTTGGTGCAGCAGCGTAAGGGAAGCTTGCTTAGCCTCCACCCATGTTGTAGCTGTTCTGTGGCTAAATAGAGCAATTCAGTCTCTAGAGCTATCATTATACACACACATACAAACACTTTCTTGCTATTACAGCAATCTTGAAGTGTGACCTTGAGCAAGTCATTTAACCTCTCAGTGCCTCAGTTTCTCTGTCTGTAGAATGGGACTAATAATATTTGTATTCCTCCTGGTGATCTATGAGAATTTGTGATTGGTTGTAAAGTCCTTTGTGATCCTACATAGCATGAGGCATTCTCAGTTCTTTGCTTTTCCTCTTTAGGATGGATACATGCAGTTTATACTCCAGTAGATTCTCTGGTGTTTGGTGGAAATATCCTGCATAGCTTTAATGTTCCCATGCAGCTTCGCGTCTATGAAATTGAGGACAGAACAAGGGTAAGGATGCTTGATTCTCTTTTTAAGTGTGCAGTTCCTTTTGACTGTATCATGTATAAAATCCTTTTCATGTCCCTTTCTGAAAGACACGAACTAGCGGTATCTCCATGTCACAGTGATTGGAACAAGAAGGTAAATGCCAGGCAACAAGGCCCTCCAAGTCCGTTTTTCTTGGTGGGATTTGCTCACCTATTTGCCCCCAGTTCCCATTGACTAGTCACTGTTGAGTCTCTTGTCTGGTTTTATGTCCCCGTTGACCTCCTCTAGTGTAAACCAGGGGTTCTCAACCTTTTTCTTTCGGAGCCCTTTCCCTCCCTCCCCCGCGCTATAAAAATTCCACAGCCCACCTGTGCTCCAACAACTATTTTTCTGCATATAAAAGCCAGGACTATCATTAGGGGGTAGCAAGCAGGGCAATTGCCCAGGCCCCATACCACAGGGGGTCCTATGAAGCTAAATTGCTCAGGTTTCAGCTTCAGTGCCGGGTGGCAGGGCATCGGGCCTTGGGTTTCAGCCCCGTGCGGTGGGGCTTCGACTTGCTGAGGCCCAGGCAGCAAGTCTAATGCCAGCCCTGCTTGGCAGCCCCCCGAAACCTGCTTGCGGCCCCCCAGGGGGCCCCGGACCCCTGGTTGAGAACCACCAGTGTAAATATCTTTCCTTTTGCATGGAGATACATTGCCCTTTAGGGTACACTTTTGCCTTTTGGTGTGGGCGAACAAGACCAGAGAACCAATGGAACTAGCATGGTTCTGCTGCCCAGAGTGGAATGGGGGAGCCATACAAAAGCTGCACAAGGGAACTACATTACTCATTGTTTGCACTCTGGAAAGTTTTCTTCCACAGCAGCTCCACGCTAGTGCAGGGGAAACTTTGGGGATTGGGGTGGGGGAGGGCATTGAATCCACACATCTGGCCAAAACACCCACATAGTGGGAAAGGGTATCAGATCATGGAGTAAGTGACCGTATGGGTTCTACGCTTGGAGGGTGAGAATTGGACCTTTGGTTAGAATCCCAGTTACTTAATAGCTATAATTATTTTTTAGCTAGATAAAATAAGACTAATAAAAATCTCAAAGAAGTGTCATTCTATTTTAGTTGCCCCATGTGGTGTTTTTGTTTTGTTTTGTTTTTTTGTTCGCCTGCCACAGTATTGTAATGCAGATATTCAACCATCAGTTTATGTAAGTTCCTTGCCCAAGGATGTTGTGAAGGCCAAGACTGTAACAGGGTTGAAAAAAGAACTAGATACATTCATGGAGGATAGGTCCATCAATGGCTGTTAGCCAGGATAGGCAGGGATGGTGTCCCTAACCTCTGTTTGCCAGAAGCTGGGAATGGGCAACACTGGATGGATCACTTGATGATTACGTGTTCTGTTCATTCCCTCTGGGGCACCTGGCATTGGTCACTGTCGGAAGACAGGATACTGGGCTAGATGGACCTTTGGTCTGTTCCAGTATGGTCATTCTTCTGTTCTTATATACAGTCTTGATACAGTTATACTGGTATAACCCCGTGTGTGGACACTTTCATTCCAGTGTAAGATTTGCTTTGTTCATTTTAGCTTATATCACTTGGGAAGGGATTTAAGCTGAACTGAAATAAGCCACTCTTACTCTGGAATAAGTGTCTACACTGAGAGAGAGGTTGTGTGTTAGTGTTATTTATACCAGGATAACTAGTAAATCTTTCCCATATAGACAAGGTCTATTTAATATTGTAATTTATTGAACACGAGCAGTATTCTCAGTGCTGTTCATTCCTACAAGAGGGCATGGTCCCTCCCCTAGGGATTTCAGTCTAAATTAAACACTTCTAACAGAGACACAATACACAGGGTGAGGGCCTTGGCTTGAATCGTGCACATTTTACTTAGTGACTCTACACCATTTCCTCATCAGCGTGCAAAGCCTTTTTCCTGTGCAGCCTCTCTCATTCCAGTGTTCTGACACCAGGATGCTACTCCATTACTTTCCAGGGGATACAAAGACCGATAGGTCTTGTATTGCTAAGCATTGATAGAAGGTATTGGTTTCCTGGAGGGATTTGAATGGAGAGAGGGAATATTTGGCACATAGGAAGGAATTCTCAGCGGGAGAGGTGGGATGGCAGAAAGGGGCAGTTAAAAGGGAGATCTGGGCAGAACGAAGGGCGTGAGAGTGGGAGTAGGAGGAATCAAGAACAGAGACAAAGGCAGGAGTGGAATTTTGCGTGGCCTTGACGGGAAGCATGAACTTGATGCAAAAGGCAGTGGACAGATTTGAATAGGGGAGTGCCAGGAGGGGAAGCTGATCTTAGCAACAGCATTTAGAGTAAATCAAAGGGGGAGGTAAGATGAATTGCAGGGAAGCAACAGAGAAGGAGGTTGTCGTAATCAAGGCTAGAGGTGAACAAGGGCTAGAGAATGGCATTGGGGTAGAGCAGAAAGGAAGGATTTTAGAGAGATTGTAGCAAAAAGACTGGCAGGGGATATTGGAGCCTGGATGTAAGAGAGAGGAGAATATCTGTGAGCCTGGGTGATGAGCTGTCAACAGTAGTGGAGACAAGGGGAAGAAGAGAGGGCTATGGAGGAAAGATGTAAACCAGAAACAGTGTGTGAATGAATTACATAGAAAGCCATGGAGAAGATGGAAAAAGAGACCGATTATATTACTGCAGCAATAGAAGAGTAGGAGCATCATTTTCTTAGCGAGTTGAGCACCCACTGCTCCTATAGACTTCAATCAGAGCTGCGGATGCTCAGACCTCTGAAAATCAGCTCTTCCTTCCTAGGCAGTTAGGGTGGCTCTTGGCTTTTCAAACGTTCATCAGCATTACACTAAGGGAGACATTAGCCAAGTCACAATGAGCAGTTAGGGATCTAACTTGCACTGAGAAGTTGGGACACCTACCTGCCATTTTTACCTTTGAAAATCTCCCTTAAATTGTTGTTTGGAAAAGGACGCTTTCAAGATTGGAAGCCCACATTTTAACCTTTTTAATCTTGTAGGTTTCATCTAAGATTGTTTCTGCGAAGTACATGTAATGTTTTATCCTTCCCGCCTCCTCCCCCCCCAAATAAATGTTTCAGTGCTTAAAAAGGGGGGGGGAGAAGTCTGCCAATGGCCCAGAGCTCAAGCAACCCTACAGCAACAAACTCAGCACTCAATGCAGCTATATGATAATAATGTGTTATACTCAGTCCAGCACTCATGAGCAATCCTACAATAACAAAGACATGTAAATAATCAAATGCTCCCAAGTAACCCTACAATAACAAAGATGTGTATGCAACCCTACACTAATGAACTGACCTGCAATAAAACGTGACAGAGAAAATAAAAATACATGTTTTTTGTAAAATGGTGATTAAAAAAATCCTGAAATCATTATACAAGTCTCTCTTAAGAGTAAATGTTTTCAAAATGAACAGAATGCACTATTCAGTTTACTTTGTGGAACAAATATTGTAATTTCTTCTTTATTTGAATAATCCTCACTGAGTGGTATAGCCAGATCGTGTTTAATGTACTTGAAAGCGAGTTCGCCAGTGAACAGACTGCAGATGGGTTTCTCCTGAGTATTGATCTTTCCATTGTGTGTAACACAGAAGTAAATTACATGATGTGATTCACAAAGTAATTGCCACACTCAAATCAAAGTGTAATCTGGGTGTGTTTCCCCTCTTGATTTTGCACAGAGCAATTTTATGGAGGTTTCACTGTGTTTAAACCTGCTGTATAATGCTTAATCATCTTTGATTGCTGGTATTCAAAGCCATTTTTATGCTAGGTGCAGTTGTTATTGTCTTAGCAGCTAAGACAAGGATAATACATGGCTGAAATGGTAATGCTGATTTAGAGCCCAATAAAACCCCCTAGCTTGTACACTTGTCATGCTTATTCTATCTTAATTTCTCATATCCCTGGGAGATTTTTAAAGAGGGTTATAGCCATTTAAAATAGTTTTTAAGGAGTAATAAAAAACATGTCTATTGTTGGAAACAGCTTCTAACGTGCAATTGAGGTAAACAATTATTCTCTAGCCTTGCAGTTTGTAGAGATTTTCATTTTGCAGTCTGCCTTTCCTAGAGGCCAATTAACAGCTAGGCAAATAGGCCAAGCTGTTTAGCTTTCTGCTAGACCAGCTTGGGTAACTGCGGAGCAGGCTGTGATGCAAAGGTTCATCATTTTGGCTTAGGGGTGTTATGGGTTCAGTAATACCGAAGGAGAAGAAATGTTAAGCTATTTTTAGCTGATCTAGATTTAGTCACATTAATGTATTTGAACCTGTATGAGGATACAAGCATTCAAAATATATACGTAAGGTGGTCACTCACAGATGATGGTATTTGCTACTGATTCTGTTTTCTGGAACCTAAATTTAAAATTTAAAATTGATAGATTAATTTCCCCCCAAATTAATTAAAAAAATTATTTTAAAAATATTGCGATGAGAATGATTCAATGCAAGTAGAAGACATAATGATTTTTTAATAGCTATAGTGTAAGAAACTAATACATTCTAGGGGAGAACGTGCCTCACATGTGCTTGGTTTTTTGTTTTGTTTTTTGTACAAGTCTCTAAAATAATTTCACTTTGAACTGTAGAAACGATCATATTCCAGAGAGAATTTTTCTCACTGTACAGGAATAATTAAAAATATATTCAGTGGATTGTAAATTATTAATCATTGAAGTTAGAGCTGGAAAACGTCTATTAGATTATCTAGTCTATCCCCCTGCTGGTGCAGGATTTAGTCCCCCGGCAGAAGATACATTAGATAGTAAATTGTAAACGGATCACAGATAACTTTTGGCTTCATAATTTTTTTTTTTTAAAGTTCATTTGACCTATGGATATACAATAGGAAAAGGTATGGGCATGTACGTTATACAATTCGCATCCATTACAACTAATAAATATCTAGGAAGGTCATAAATGATGTACTCATTTATGCTTTTGCATAAAGCACATTTAAGAAATTTTTAAACCACTGTCAATCTTAGATTTGCTTCTACAGCAAAAGGCACTGTAGACCTTTGCACAGTATCTATTACTACATATGGTAGCTCTTACTTTTGAAGGTTTATAAAGCAGAGCCATCTCAGGCAAATAGCGAATTACAGAGGCATGGAGGGATTTGCTGTGGGTTGGAACATTGATAGTGAGGCAATTAGGAACTCAAATTGAATATTAAAGATTGATATACATAATGGGAGCACTGCATGCATTACTGCCTTGTCTTTCACATTGAATTAACATTGGTAACAACTAAATTTGGTGAAGCTCAGAATCTGTCAACAAATGTTGAGCAATGATGTCTTTAATATTCCCAGGCATGTGGCTGAAAACCTTTTGAAGGCTGAGGGGTGGAAGGCGGCTTCCTGTTTGTAAGTCAATTCTTTGCAAATTTTGTTTCCTGCAGTGCTCTCTTGGAAAAATTTGAGTTCCTTTATTAGCATATATTTTAGCATGGCTAATTTCCCTTGTGTTCTGTAATAGTGATAAGTGACATGATCTCTTCTTTCTGACATGTAACCAAACCAAAAGGAAAAAGGGTTCTCCAATACTGTAACACCCTGGGGTTGAATGTTGTTCTCGCATCTAGGTTTTGGTTTTTTAGAAGTACAGTGCTGTATAACCCACAACTTAGGGAATGTTTGGAACGATGCAGCAGCAATCAGTTGCATCATCACCCTCAGCAACATTTGACAGCATCTGGCTTCAGATTTGCCAGCTACATTTGTGCTGAGTTTGAGGTCTCAGCTCTGGTAAACATTTTGGATTACTTATACTCTACCTTGCAATGCACTTAGTTTCCTTAATGACATGTTGTTTTATTGTTTAGTGTTTCAATTTCCCCTACAATGGGAGCAGATGCAAGGTTTTTTGACTGTCTACTCTGGGCACAATTTTCAAATGTGGACATTTTAGCAGAACATCTGAATCCCACAGGTGGATGCTCTGATCATAAGGCAGGTGTGTAAATGTCTGTTTTGCACAGCCAAGTGCCAGTATGAGTTTCCAGATGCTGTATTTAGTCGTTCTATTTAGACTCCCATGTTTAAAGAAAATGGACTGCCTGTAATAATGAGCCTTTCTGGTGCAATGCAGTTTTCATTAAAGGTGGGCAGACATGTGTTAGACTTGTTGGTTAGGTGAGAAGTTAAACTGCATAGAATGTGTTAAGAGCAGTTCACATAATCCTGCTGCAATGTATGCAAGCTAGGTTTTATCCAGCCCACAAAATGCAAATTCAATGCCTGCAAGGAGTAAGAACTGTTCAGTGTAAGTACCTGTGCATGCAAGGTATATGGCATTCATTTTTTTTTTTTTAAAACACAGCAAATGTACATACGTATTCAAACACAGCAAATGTACATACATATTCCCAAATTGGAGACTCCACAGTGTCTTCCTTAGCACAGAGATCTCCCTTACTTGGAAAACTGTTAGAGGGAAAAAAAGCAGTTTATTTTTCTTTTAAACATGAAATAAATATCACAGATATACAGCACTGAGAAATCCGCTTCTGATACGAAAATAGCAAGGCTGGGAGATAAAGGGAAGGGGATATCCTGGCAGAATTTTTTGGTAGAATCCCACTTTTCTGTTTGATTCAGGGCAAAAGTTGATTGACTACCAAAATATTAAGAGTAGAACAAATGTAGGGGCCTTTTTTTATATTTAATGTTTGAATGCGATATACCAACAATCAAAATTTTGTTTTTATTCCATTGTTTAATCAAATGGTGGTATTGTAAAGACTTGAGTTGGCAAGGATCGAGTTTCCTGCTTGGCTCTTTGTAGGTGGTAATGCTGTTTTGACAAATCATGGAATAATTTTTAGGAAATCAAAAGAACCCACATTTATTTTAACTTGAATTTTAGTGACTAACATCTGTATGTGACCACCCTATGTTTATACAGTAGATAAATAATACCTTAGGGGGCCATGCATCAGTTTCATGATTTCACAAGACCACAACTCCCTCCCCACCTCCCCCACCAACCCAAGAGGGTACAAATTAGTGAACCAAGGAATGATGCTATCATAGCAAGCAGGCAGGCAGCCTCCTCATTTTGTATGCTGAACGCATACATCTCACTCAGCTCCCACCCTCTTTCCCCTCCCCCTCCTGCATACCGTTTGTGCTCTTGATAACATGATGAGAATGATGACTGGCCCTTGTGCTGCAAACTTCTCTCCCTTCCACATGGATTGACAGTCTCAATCTTGCTTTCAGGTGCATGCCAAATTCCGTTATCCTTTCTACTATGAAATGTGCTGGTATGTTCTGGAGAGATACGTGTCCTGTGTGACCCAGCGCTGCCACCTCAGCAAAGAATACCAGAAAGAATCAATGTTAATTGGTGAGTGAATCCTTCAAGTGCGTATTCAGAATGGACGCTGGCATCTCAGACTAGTCAGTGCTTTGGCTTTTGCAAAGCAGACTGTAAATTAAATTGGAGAAATGTAGAGATCCTAATGAATTATTTCATTATTTGGAGATGGAGAAGATTTGAAGCTCAAGCAATTTCACTGAACCGCCACCCTTCCTTGAATGATATTTATTGAGCTTTTCCATGGCAAATGGATCTCAGAAAAATAATTTCAGATTTGTTTATTTCTTGGTTTCAGTAATGTTTGTGTTGAGGTGATCTGCCAAATAGTTGAGGATTTACTGTTGCATTTGGCATATTACCTTAGCAGCCAAAAAGTCTGCATTGCAAATTTGTTCTGTTGGGTTGGATAGTTAGCACTTCGTCTACAAAGTGCATTACAAGCAGCCCCTAAATCTGGCTTCTTTTTTCTTTCTTTTTTTACATCTCTGGTTTTATTTTTCCCAAACTGGTGACTAGTTTATTTAAAAAACAAAACAAACTTACATTATCAATAACTTAGATGCAGGCAGGGCAAAGAAACCTTTAAAACAATAGCTGAAAGTGAACTGTGGCAGAGATGGATGGATGGGATCAAAGTGGGAAAGCGTCAAGGGCTTGAGTTCTAGCAGTACAGCTAGAGTTCTAGCCTTGCCTATCAGCTTTATTTATTTTATTTCCAAAGGGCCACTGGGCCACGTCATCTTGCTTTTAGGCACAGAAAGGCTGAAAGTAGCACAAGTATCAGCTAGATCAGGCTGGTGCATCTGGAAGTAGAGAGAGAAGCTAAAGTATTTCCATCCCACCCTTTTCCCCACTCCCATAGCTGGCCATCATTGTGAATACCACATGTTTGGGAGCCCCAGAGGTTTTGGAGAGAATGGCCAGCAGTCAAGACATAAATGGCCACCTAATGCATCATGACATTTCAGTGAGAGGGGCTGCATGGGTGGTAAGCATCGCTCTTTAGTGAGCCATGCTGCCAGGGAGTAGTATGGAGAAGCTGACTGACTGCAAAGATACTCTGAGATCTGAAGGAGCTCCCTGCAGATCTCAGCAGATCTCTGTGGATGGAGGGTCCCATTCCGCAGCCCCTCTGTGTGCCATCAAACTCCTCCACTGAAGGATTAATAAGTCAGGAACTCCCAAAGCATACTGTGTGGTGTGCTGAGTAACTCCTTGCTTCTGGCTGGTTTTGTTCTGGGGGAAGGAGCTCTTTAAAGAACCATTGACAAAACTGTCTGTCCTTGTATCCCTTGGAACGTAAAGAAGCAGCACTTTGATGTCTGAATGCTGGCATGAGAGATGCTGTGCTCCAGAGAGGATCTTCCTGACACTGAGGCAGGGGTGGAGGGTCATTAAGTTGTACAGTGAAATCAACACGTTTTAGAATGAATGAGGTGCATGGAGATGGGATGGCTCAGGAGATTGAACATAAGATCTGGAACCTTCCCCATCTAAATCACCAGCGTGAATCCAGGTCAGCTCAGTAGTGACTGTTGGTGATTTGGTCACCCATGCGGAATGTGTCTCGGGTTATGTCTACACTAGATAGCTTACAGCGATATTGGTACAGCTGTGCCACTGTAAGATCTCTTGTGTAGCTGCTTTATGCTGATGGGAGAGAGCTCTCCCGTTGACATAATTAAACCACCCCCAACGAGCAGCGGTAGCTATGTCGGTGGGAGAAGCTCTCCCGCTGACATAGTGCTGTGCACGCTACCACGTATGCCTGCGAAACTTTTGTCACTCAGGCTGTGTGTTTTTTTCACACCCTTGAGCGACATACGTTTTGCTGACATAAGTGGTAGTATAGGCATGACCTTAGTCCAGTTCCTAGTGGTGAGGCATCCAAGTCATGTAAAAACACAATTGTCACCAAGTTGGCCCATTTTGGCAATCTCAGTAGGCTGAATCAGCAGAATAACGGGCCATGGAGATTAAGTTGTCTTCTCAGCTCTATAGATGGTGCTTTTAGGCCAGGATTGAGGTAGTATGGAGAACCTTGGACTGCTACTGCCCATACTGTAGGAATTCTGTGGATGCAAAGAAAACTTTTGGTGTCCCCAGGTCTGTCAGTCCAGCCCTTTGCAACCGCACTAAAATTACTTAGACTCAAAATTGTATTTTGGATCCAGAATACTGGGATGCCTGCTGCAGGAAGAAAATGTTGTGATGGAAAGAGACTGTTCATTGTGGGGAAGGAGATAGAAATGGGGCATTCAGGGTGATAGAGTAGGAGTCAGTGCTTAGGTGGGGATGAAGGGAGCAGCCATCTTTAATTGAGTCCCAGTTTTCCTCCAGATTTACCCCCAATTTTGAGAGACATGCTGCTTCTCTAGAGTTTGAACAGGAAAGGGCACTTATAGCCTTCAAGGGAAAAAGCCTCAGTAAAAACAAGTCCGAAGAGCAGTAATAGTTTGAGCAATCAGAATAAGAGGTGGATAATGCAAGTCAGAGGTGCTTTGAAGAACTGCTGCCTATAGAAATACTTGGATTTAAAGAGCAAAATTCTATATCTCTCTGAGAAGAATGCTGGCCCTCTCTACTGTGTGACTATTGCATTGTCTAGGATCAACAGGCACTCTTCATCTAGCCTGGGGCTCTGCCAGGACAGCACAAGCCTGGCAGAAAGAAGAGGCCTGTGTCAAGAGTGGGACAGTTTGGAAGCCTAAGTTGCAGTGAGCACTGGAATGGGGCATGCCTTCTCTCTCTGGGTACTGTGGGAAGGAACTTGCACTCATGGCAAATCCCACAGTGAGACACGTTGTCTCCTTCCTTGGCTGTTGGGCCTGGGGAATGAAAATGGGTTTTTTTGTAAGGAAGGCTCCTTTTCCCTATCGTTTCAAAGGTTTCTCAAATATTCTTTAAATAAGATTCCAGATCCTTTTTAAATCTAACTCTCCCTGATTTTCAAAAACCTGCTGGAAGCTTGAATTTGTTTCATTATTTCCATCATGCACAAATGGATTTGTTATTGAAGGGCTGTTTGCTGGAGCTGCACACTGGCTTGTTATGGCAATGGTGTGTGTGTGTGTGTGTGTGTGTGTGCACGCGCAGGCAGTGCACACTTGTCAGGTTGTTCATGACTTTGTCATTGTAGGGTTCCTCTTGAATTTTGTACTCTAGATTGTTGTTGCACAGTTGTGAAGGTTTCTTTATTATTATAGGAATGCTTCTCAGAGCAGGACTGAAGGTACTGATTCTCTTCCTCCTTTTTTGGATTCTCTCTCTACTTCCCTGATCTTCATTTGCAGATCGGTAGTAGCAGCTAATGATGAGCCCATCCCCAGTTTGATTAGACCCTTCTGGAGTCTCACATTTCTCTTCCCCTACTATTTTACTAGAACCTGAACCAAAACTCCAGATCCTAATATAATGATACCTGCTACAATTCTTCAGCAGGGATAGAACCTGGGCCCTTCAGCCATAAAATCACAATCCACTGCTATGTGAGCTAAACGAGTCCCAGACAATGGGGTGAGGCATGATTACAGGCATTTGACAGTGTATTATATTAATACCACCAGACTTCAAACATGTTAGGATTTTAATCTGACCTTGCTCTCTTGGACAGACGTGTACTTTTTACTCACTTAAACAGTCTCTGTCTACAGCATATTTTATCACCTGGCTGCCACCTTCAACTTCAGTTCACTAGCATACTAAACAGTGTCAGTCTCAGTGCTGATTTCTGTCGTTGACTCCTAGGATCTTCTCTCTGTTCTAAGAAAAAGACATTTATTTATGCATCTTTGTCATTATCTATTTTTTATTATTATTTATTATTCCCTGGTGGACTGTATATTTTAGCTGATTATATAGGTGTGAGGGACCTTACTAACTGGTGTTCAAAAGGCCAAGTTTATTATATCATCTGGATTCCCATTTTTGGTATTTTGCTGGTTTTTTCAAAGAATTCTAACAGAAACACAGCTCCTATCAAGAGAAATCATACCTTTCTGTTCTATTTCCCTGTCATATTGTACTACTTAGGATATTTTCCCATCCTGCTCTTAATTATACTCTCTGCTCCCTGTACTGAGGTGAAGTTGCCTGGTCTGTAATTGTTGAATCACCTGTAGCTTTTTTTTTTAAATGGGCACCACAACATTCAGGCACAACTGTTAAATGTAGAGGATTCAGTGAACTAGATGTTGGCAAAGGAGCAGAATTTCTGACTTTTTTAAACTTCCTTCAGGATTCTTGAGGTCCTCAGGTTGCTGCCTCCTCTTTTCCTTAGAGACTTCTCTCTCTGTTAATGCCATGTCTTGATTTCCATAAGAGGTGCTCCTTTGAGGAAGGACTTCCCCATCACCATCCGTAGTGAATACGGACAGAAGGTTACCTGCAACTCCTTTGTAGTTTTAATTGTCCTCTTTACTTCTTGGACTAGGGAAACCATCTTGAGTTCCATGCATGCTTATTAAAAAACTTCTTATGGTTAGTCTTAATGTTTGTAGCTATCTGCTTCTTCACATTTCCTCTTTTTCCACAGTATATTTTCCCTGTTATGGTTTGTGTTGGATTTCTACTTCTTAACTATACTTTTTTTTTGGCTCTTATAGTTTGCTGTATTTTACCCTGGAGATATGCTCTTTTATTTTGCATCTGCTCTGCTGCAGACAGTGTTCTCGTTGGATCTCAGAAGCTAAGAAGAGTCAGGCATGGCTAGCACTTGGAGGAAGAATCTCCAAAGAGAAAACAGTGCTGTAAGAAGTGGTGTCTGGAACTTGCTAGGCACTTTTCTTTGAGTCAGTAGTGATGATAGGTGTCTCTTTACTGCTGATAGGTGTCATCTTTGGAAGAAACAGAAAACCAAGGTCCTGATCACTTGTGTTAAAGATCCCATGACACATTTTTTGTATAAAAAGGTGCTAATTTCAGTATCCTATCCTCTAACTCCTGTGTTTGGATAGAGCTACCTAGAAAGCAGTTCCCTCTGTCTGGTATTTTCCAGAATGAGCTGCTCAATTTATTTCTTTTATTGC